GACGCGCGGGTGTCGACATCAAAGGCATTTGTCGACCACCCAGGTAAACCTCATTCCAGGAGGCATACCTGGGTGGTGGACAAATGCCTTTGATGTTGACACCTGCGTGTCCAGACTACCGTGCTGAGCCGACAAACAGCTGATCGGCTCAGGGTTGCAGCCATGTAAATTTAAATGAAGCGGCGATTATTTAAATCGCTGCTTCATTTTCCTATGCCTGGTAGCCTAATCTACATGCCTCTGTCGCCAGAGGCATGTAGTCTAGATGTAGCCTTATTCTCTTAGTATGAGAGATGGTATCCTACCTTTTGGTATTAACAGAGATCTTCAAACTGTCAGCTATAAAACAACGCTAAGCTGCAGTACACCAACACAGTGTCTTATATTTTCTTGTTGACTTCAATGGGATCAATTCCAATGGCATTAGTGATAAGAACTGGATTTCAAATTATCCAGAACAAAATAATGAATAACTTAATTGCAACTTATTTTCTTCAAATATAGTAAATAAGCTTTGACAGATTTAGTTCTATAGTAAACTAGAAAGGGAAAAATCACTTCAACTAGTTTAAGAAAACAGACAAGTAATTTTCCGATGGCTGAAACTAACTGCTTTTCAGTTATTGTAAAGTGTGAAAGAAGTCTAGTTCTTTTGCTATTAGGATAAACATTGCAACTTTCAGGACAGATCAGGTTTTTTGAGTCAAAGTTATAGGAGAGGGGGGGAAAAAAGTTTTGTAATGGAAATTTATTGACTATGGACATGCTAACACACTCTTATGTAAAGTGTGACAATATGTATTTCATTTTCTGCACTTTGAATTCTCTACATGTATCATGATTACCATACATCATTTATTAATAAAACTAGATTAAATATTTACAAGCATTTTATTATAACTTGCATGTTCATTTCAAATTAGAAAAAGGCCCATTGGGAGCAAATTTAAAACTTAGGTTTCAGCACAGAATATTCTAAATCCTTTCGAATAGATTTACTGAAAACTGACTGTTCTGCGCCCAGTGTTAATTTAGCATATTAATAGAACCCCAGAGAATTATTATTCAGTTTAGAGTCCTGTTGCTGTTACTATGAAACTCCCTCCAGCAGTTTTTTCCATTTCTCTGGTGTGTAAAATGATCCAACAAAACTCTGTCAACCATGTGACACTGCTTTTTGTTACTTTTGGTAAGAGTCATATGTATAGAATATGTATAGAATATGCTTACATATTCTCCCATGAAGAATTAAAGATGACTGGAATTCTGGAGACGGCTGTATTTTCTTTGCACTTACTGCCTTAAAGAATAGGGCATGCATATTTTACAGGCCATATGTTCTCAGTGTTTTAACAAGAGGCTCTTATAAAATTCCCCCCCAAACCACAAAGCCGAGAGAGGGAGGAAGGACTAGGTAATCTATTAATTTGTTTTCCCATTTAAACATTTTAAATGTTTAATAACCTGAAGTGATAGGGAGAAATTATCACAAGGCAAGTTATCTAATATTGACATACACTTTTTCAGCAAATTCTTAAACTTTGTCTCCTGAAACTAAATAGAGGATATTGGTAGAATATCACAGTGTACAACTTGTGTCTGTAGGGAAGTCCAGTTCCTTCTATTGGGTACATTGTACAGGTGGTTTGTGTATGTGTACAATCTTTTTGTGAGCCCTGGGAATGTAAACTTTTGCAGAGAGAATTCAGCAGTATGTAGAAAGGGAATTTCAGGAGAGAGAGAAATGTCTCCCACCTTTAGTCTGGGTTAGGGGAATTTCAAACACGGGGCTTTTGAGGCCCTCTAGCATAACACTGTGGTTTATATTGGACACTGGATCGTATTTCCTTTTGCAAGACTTGGGTTTCAACCACAATGGACAATTTGTCAGTTTGCTGATTGTATAGAGTAAGTTGAATAATGTGTTTAACAAAAAATCCTAAATCACAATGTATTTCTTTTTTTCCCCCCAGGAGAGAGTTATGTATGTGCCTCCAATGAACCATATCGCAAAGTTGATTATACCAAGAATGTCAATCCAAACTGGTCTGTGAATATTAAAACTGGGTCTGCTCGATCCTTGACATCTCTGACCTCTATGAAAAGCGAAGTGAAGGAGAGTAAAGATTTCATTAAACCCAAATTGGTGACTGTTATTCGGAGTGGTGTGAAGCCACGGAAAGCTGTGAGAATTCTGCTGAATAAAAAGACTGCTCATTCCTTTGAACAGGTTTTGACCGACATTACAGAAGCTATTAAGTTAGATTCAGGTGTTGTGAAGAGACTTGTAACACTGGATGGGAAGCAGGTAAGAGAACAAACCATATTGGGCATTGAATATTGGGTACTATTTAAGATGCTTCTATGTCTATATTCTGCCATCTTGTTGCGCTTTTGTTACTATCCAATTTCTATCGGGCTTATGTGTATTTATTATATTTTAACAATCATTAATTTTTCCAAAGTTCTCCTTTATCCCCAATAAGTGGGTTTGATGATCCTTAACCAGCAGATGTAATCACAATTTGGGAGGCTGGAATCGCTCTGCCTTCCCAATCCAGACTTTCTGTCACTCCCAGCTCTATAGCTTCCTGTCTCCAATAACTGAAGGTATGTCTACACTACCCCCCTAGTTCGAACTAGGGGGGGGTAATGTAGTCATACGGAGTTGCAAATGAAACCCGGGATTTGAATTTCCCGGGCTTCATTTGCATGAAGCCGGCCGGCGCCATTTTTAAATGCCGGCTAGGTTGGACCGTGTGCCGCGCGACTACACGCGGCACGAACTAGCTAGTTCAGATTAGGCTTCCTAATCCGAACTAGCTGTACACCTCGTTCCACTAGAGTGTACTAGTGTGTGCATGTGGACGGGGGCCCCTTGGGAAAATGAAAATATCATCTTGTAGTCTTGCGTTTTTTTTTTTCCTTTGTTTAGTTCACCACCTGTCATCTCTTGCATTTGACTTTGCAAGGTCATTGAGACAGGCTGATTTGTACGTTGTCTAGCACAATAGTCTGAAATAGATTGGAATCTTATTAGTCATTTCTATAATGGAGATTATAAAAACTCTAGGGCATGTTTCTAATCTCAGCGCACTAGTGATAGGAATGGGAAAACATTATGTATGGTACAGGTTGAGTCTCCCAGATCTGGTCCAGCAACATCTGTGGACTGGCAGGACCATGGATATTGCTGGACCAAAGAGCTCCGGAGGCCAGGAGCAGGCCAGCTGGGAGAACTCAGGGCTAGGGAATCCTTGCTGGGCCATCAGTGGCTGGAGAGCCCTGGCCCTAATGGGGGAACCCTGGTGACAGCAGGGCCATCCAGGAAACGGGGACTCCCCGCCCCAACCAGGGAACCCCAAACATTAGCTGGACCAGGCGGCAGCCAGAGAACCCCAGCAGGACCCCCCAGCAGAAGCAGGACTGGCCCCAGTAGTGGGGCCGGTGGCAAACCCCCCAGAAACCACCTGGGGCAGGTGGCTGGGCACTTCAGATGGGGTACCCCCAGTCCTGCATCAGCGGGGCTGGAGAATCCTTGGTGGCAGTGGGCCAGGCGATGGCAAGGGACTATTGGCCAGGGAGCTCTGGGGAACCCCCAGTGGCAGCGGGGCCAGGAGTGTCCAAGAGTGGTTGGCGGCGGCAGGGCGGTCCTGGCTGGGGAACCATGGCGAAACTTGTGGGAACCCCATCTTTGGAAGCCCCAAGGAGGGGAGCCCAGAAGTGGGGCAGCCAGCAGGGTGGCATTGACCTCCCCTAGTCCAGCAAACTCTCGAGGTGCCAGACCAGGGACGTACAACCTGTATTTTGCTCACTGAGAGTCCTCCCTTCTTGTTGGCACTTGGTAGCACTCTGAAATAGGGTAAACTACTTTTGGCTGTTATCAGTGAATCTTCCTTGTGGTCCTGGAAAGTGGACATGGCGAGGCTATGATTGTAGTGATCATGAGGGCGGAAGCAGGGTATTCAAGCAGGGTAGGCAAACTTCTAGAAAAGTTTTCACTTCTTATTGGATGCTTTATTCCTCAGCTGTAAGCTTGAGGAAAGCGGTCACTATTACCTCTTCATTACTGTGAAATTCATTTAATCTGTGGAGAAAAGTGAAGATGACAACTGTTCTGTTAAAGGAGGGAGATTGAGAATGTTTCCCCAACACAAACTAGAAATTACCCAACTGTATTTAGGTGGCTGGGGCAGCAATATCAATAACTTCATGCTGACATTCTGCTTCTATGTATGCATTTCTTTTCCCATAGTGAAGCTGTACAGAAAGATATTTCCAGCACAACCCTGCTCTTAAAAGCAATCTCTTCTCCTTCCCTTTTCCTCCTCCGACCCCCTAATATACATAAAATATGGAGCAAATTTAATGTCCAGCTGACACAATTGAATTTGAGTAGGCTTTGCTCTATTGACAGAACTATTCTTTACGGTGCAATGTTCGTTCACATGTGGGGTGTGTGTGGGGGGGGGCAGGGGGTGGAGCGGGGGTTTCCACTTGTACAAAGTCAGCGTTGAACCTACATGTACTTTAACCAATTCTGATTGGACTATTATGCATGTGAGGAAGGAAGTGAGGGCTGGGAAGCAGTAAACTTAGGGTACGTCTGATCAGCTGTTTGTCGGCTCAGCGTGGCAGCCATGTAAATGTAAATGAAGCGGCGATTATTTGAATCGCCGCTTCATTTTACTATGTCCGGTAGCCTAATCTACATGCCTCTGTTGCCAGAGGCATGTAGTCTAGACGTACCCTTAGGTAACTAGCTGACTTGCAACAGATAATATTTCCTTCATCTTATGGGTATCTGGTTATGTCTACGCTGCTGGCTTTGCCGGCAGTGCCTATGCAAATGAAGCACAGATTAGCATATCACCGCCCTTCATTTGCATAATTTGTTCACGCTCTTTTTGTGCAAGGGGTTTTTGCAGAAACAAGCAGCGTGAAATTATTATTATTATTATTATTTTTTTTTTTTGGTGCAAAACCCCCATTTTACAAAAGATTCGTATGCCTCTCTGGGAGGCAGTGTTTCTGCAAGCCTCAATTATTCTTGCTAGTGAGGGAAATAGCCTGTTGCTGAACTTCTACCTGAGCCATATTCTTGATGATTAGCTAATGTGGGTGGCTGTACCAGGTAGCCGAATGTGGGGGCTCTTTCTTCAAGCACATTGTTAAGCAGAAAGACTCCTTTGCCTTGGCAGGTAACTATTCTACCTTCCTAAAGGGGAGTGAAGCTTTTGCCTTTCCTGCAGTACAGGCAGTCCCCGAGTTACGCGGATCCGACTTATGTCGGATCCGCAGTTACGAACGGGGCTTTTCTCGCCCCGGAGGACGGGAGCGGCGGGACGCCCAGATGCGCCACGGTCCGCCACCCCTGTCCTCCGGGGCGAGAAAAGCTGCTCCCCGTCTTCCTGGTCTGCAGGGAGACGGGGAGCAAAGCCTCGGAGCACGCCTGCACTGGGACAGCCGCGGCGTGCCTGGGCTGTCCCGCTACGGGCGTGCTCCAAGGCTTTGCTCCTGGTCTCCCTGCAGACCAGGGAGACGGGGAGCAAAGCCTCGGAGCACGCCTGCACTGGGACAGCCGCGGCGTGCCTGGGCTGTCCCGCTACGGGCGTGCTCCAAGGCTTTGCTCCTGGTCTCCCTGCAGACCAGGGAGACGGGGAGCAAAGCCATGTCATATAAGTGTTTGTGTGTGTGTGTGGTTTTTGTTTGGCCTTTACTGATATACATAGATGTTGGCAACAAGGGCATGTGAATGGCTTGGCAGATGTGCTTTGGTTCCAATTAGCAGCTGATGGAGATTTCTGAGCCCTTTTTCTCTAAAGTGATAATTACTTAGGCTTTCAAATTTGCTAAGAAGGCAGTTCTTTTGTGTTGATGGCAAAGTTTGAAAGGCAACTTTAAAGAAAGGTATTTTGTAATTGCAAAATGTAACTGCTGTTATGTGTTGTGTTTATTTATCTGCAGAAAATACTAATCCTTCTAGCTCTCAAAATTAAGAAAAGTATAAATTGTGTTAAAGCAAACTTCCTATATTGATTCCAAATTAGCAGAGACCAATTGTGTACTAGTTGCAAAACTAAGTTTTTCCCACAATATTCTTTGTTGAAAAGGGAATCTTTCATTCACTAGTTAGTTACTTCAATTGTTTTGTTTTTCATTGGAAGGATTTACAAACTGAGAGGGAAATATTATCATTAGATTAGCAATCTTTTGAATACACTTTCCTTTTAATTTTAAACAGGATAGTGGAAAGAATAGTCTCAAAATTGTCTAATTTTTCATCTACATATTATCTTATTCTTTTTCTGTAGCAACAACATGACTATAGCTTCAGAAAGGAGCTGAGTTAGTCTGTACAGAAAAAAAACAACAAATGGTCTGGTAGCACTTTATAGACTAACAAAATATGTAAATGGTATCATGAGCTTTTGTGGGCACAGTCTACTTCTTCAGATGACCGGCGTTTTGAGTTTAGGATGTGCAAACCCCCAAAAAAATAGGAGAGAAAGAGGGAGAGAGAGGGAAGGGGGGGGGGAAAAGGAGGGGGTGGGAGACAGGGAGTAGAGGGTATAGAAAATTCAGGAAGATAGAAAGAATCAGTATCTGAAGATTGGGGAGTTAAAATGAAGCAGATAAGAATCAAAGTCAATTGATACTATCCTTCCTGGCATAGGAATCTACATAATCTATTCTGAAGTGAGGCTAAACAGACCTAGAACTTTGTTTAGAAAATTAATCCTTTTGTCCAAAATAGAGGATGGAATGTTTAGATCCCGTTAAAGGAGCTTAAAGTTGTTGTCCACACAAACTGGGAATTGCCCTATAAGCAGTAATGTATTCAGATTACTGGGAACAGTAAGATCATTAACCTCATGTTGAAATTTCCTTTTATGTTCAAGAAAGTACATTTTCTTGTCAGCTGCATAGTGTAGAAATAGAAGGGACACGTTGGTCATATAATGGACATAAAAATGTTCATTCTCATCTTGCTTCCTCCTTCATACCAGCTGCTTGGTGGTTTTTATTAATGGCATCGGGGAATTTCCATAACAGTTCAACAAAATTAAAAAGTTGGGATCCTCCCCAAAATATATATGAATTGTACTGGCTGAGAGAACATGTCTTAAACAATACATTACATGTTTTTAGCTCAACTTTGCTTTTCAGGGACCAGAGATGGGTGGTTATTTCCAAGCTGCTCAGTTGAAACACATTCTCCTGAATTTTCTTCTAAGCCAATCCTATGTAAGGGTGCCATAATTTTTAAATGGGTATAAAGGGACCCTCTGTGTAATAAGCAAATGT